GATTTTTTTGTATTTTGTGTAACAGACTAACTATAACTTTCTACTCACAGGGTACACAGATTCATGCAACAGTAAAAAAGAACTATTGATATAATAATGCAATTGTTCCGGTATACACATATAAACTCAATTTAATCCCGCGTTCAGAACAAATGTATAAACCCTTTATAAAACATTATATTTGTTTACTTAATTCAAAACTTAATATATTTAATACATTGCATGTTTAATAAACTACATAAACATGTTATTCCTATTTACTCAATCCGCACATAATATCATTTAGTTTTTGAAAAAATTAAAAACCTGACACTTTTCTTCTTCGCTGTAGCGCGGGTCCGAATCTAGTTAATAGTATAGATAGATGTCTCAATCAAGAACAATGAGCAATATTCATTCTATTTAGGCTCTGTGTGAGTTAGTGTTAACTATCATAGAGAAAAATACTAAAGCTGAATTGTTCTATTGAAAGTTCTGAGAAATAAAATATTGACCCGACTATTTAAATAGAAAAACAAAGCAATATACTCTTGAAACTAGTCACGACTAACTTACTTCCTAAAAAAAAAGGAAGACTTATTTAAAAACTTAAACAACTTGGAAACAAACGCATAAGACTCATATTCAACAAAAAACCAATTTATTCTTCAATTTCTCCCCTAAACTGGAATCACCCTGCTTCTAGTTTACTCTTCGTTCAAACCAACTCCCAAGTAACTTCTTAGTTTCTCAAACACCTCCAACGTCACTCGTTTTGTCATCATATCTGAAAACTGCTCATGTGTCGAACAAAATTGCAGATCAATCACACCTTCATTCACAAGCTCCGTAAGAAAATGAAACCTCACACTAATGTGTTTACTCCTCCCTTGTAGAACCAGATTCTTGGACAGCTTAATTGTTGAATTGTTGTCACAAAACCGAACTGTTCCTTTGCCTTGATCAAACCCAATCTCATCAAGAACGTTTCTTAACCAAACTGCTTGACAAGCACCATTTGCTGCAGCAACAAACTCTGCCTCTGTACTAGACATTGTGACAATAGGCTGTTTCTTTGAAGACCAAGCTACAGCTCCTCCTCCAAACATGAATGCATAACCCGACGTGCTCTTGCTATCATCTTCTGCGTAATCACTGTCCACACAGCCTACCATTTTTCAATCTACACCTGACTTATATTGTATCTCAAAACCGACTGTGCCTTGCACATACCTCAAAATTCTTTTTGCAGCCACCATGTGTTGTTGTGTCGGTCTCTCCATATATCTACTCACCAAATTAACGGGATAAATTAAATGAGGTCGAGTTGATGTCAAATACCTTAGGCTTCCCACAAGCTGCTAAATGCAATTGAATTTACCAAAGGTCCTTTTCCTTCTTTGGTCAGCTTATTCCCTGTAACAATCGGATTAAGCACGGGATTACAGCTTTCCATGCCAAACTTCTTCAAAGTATCCAACACATATTTTTTTTTGACAGATAAAAATCCCTTGCTCATCTTGAATCAATTCCACCCCCCAAAAAGTACTTCATCTTCCCATGATCTGTCATTGAAAACTCTTTCATCATAGATGCTTTAAACTCCATCAACATCGAATCTAAGTTATTCGTGTAGATGAGATCATCTACATAGAGACTTATGAGCAAGACATCTTCTCCCTACTTCTTCACAAACAGTGTGTGCTCACAGTAGCATTTTTTAAACCCTTCTCTCATAAAGTAGCTCTCGATCCTGTTGTACCACGCTCTGGGAGCTT